ACACCTAAGCACTGTCAGTTACCAAAAAAACAAGGGTCGGGGCTGTAACTGCCCACAGTTGGGAAGACTGCAGGGGCTCCCGTAAGTCATCAGATCGCTCACGGGGTCCCTCTGTCTCCCCAGTTTGATCTCAGTCTCTCTGTTGACAGGCTCCCTCCTTGTGGTCAGAGCTATGTCCCGCACACCCCACCATTCCTGCCAGCCTTTGGGTCTAACTGACACCACGGGCTCACCCTTCAAGCAGCTGCTCCGTCTATGACTGACCCTGGGGCCAGCCCCCTGCTCAGGCCCCCACCCAGCAAGAGCACCTCCTGGGACTGTGGGCTTGTAGGTAAAATCCACTCTTCAGATTTCCATGGACATTGGAGCGGGGGATACAATAATGAAAGGAGGCCTCGTGGCAGGCAGGACTCTGAGTCGGCCCCCTTCATGCCCACCGGGGGTACACCCCTCATAAGCCCCTCTCCTTGAACACGGTGGAACCTGGGGCTCTCATAGCCAATGGGACAGGCTGAGTGCTGCTATGCCCCCTTGAATTATTAAAGGCCCGTCTTAGCTGACAGCAGTGTCTCCTGCCGGCCCTGAGGCGGAGGCCCCGGCTGACAGAAGCCTGGCTGTCAGTCACACGTTCTGCCGCCAGCTCGGAGCGGGGTGCATGTCTGCCCGGTCGGCCTCCAGGCGAGGGCACGGCCTGCTGGGACCTCCAAGGCAGACGAACCAGACCCTGAGCAAAGGCCCTGGGACGTGTCCAGACTCACATCTCCTCTCACGGAGACCACTAGTGCATGCGCGTCGTCCTGCGTCTCTAGATCTGTGATGATTTCTCACGCGGGGCATGTGACAGATACACTCCCTTTCTCCTGCAGATGATCACTACAGACGCGTCTGCCTGCAAACGGACCGACATGCCGGGCGCCGTACCGAGTGGGCCCCCGGGGGAGCCCTGGTCAGAAGGGCTGCCAGCGACTCCGCACCCGCTCCCCGCTCTCTGGGCCGCCATCAGGGCCTGTGGTCGCTCGGCCTCCCGGTGCGGCAGCTGCTCGGGGTTCTCAGAGCTAAATGCAAACCCCCAGCAGAGCCTGCCAGGCCCTTGCTCAGCTAGCCTCATAAACGGACTCTTGCCCCAAATGCTACCTGCCTGGAGGGGGGTGAAGGTCAATTCCCTCACCCTGCGTGCTGCCCCTTCCTTAACACACACACACACACACACACGCGCGCGCGCACGCACACCCCTTTCCCCTTCTCCTTGAAGGTCAGCTCCAGCGCGGCCAGGAGGTGGGGTCCTGACCCTTGGATGACGGGTGTTTGCCCGCGCCCACTCCCCACGCAGTCCTCTGGCCCCCCGCCATTGCCTGCTCTCCGTGCGTTCTCCCCGAGCCCGTGTTCTCTGGCAGGGCAAGAAAACATCCTGTCTCAGGAACCCCGGGACCAGCTCAGGGCTGGCCATCAGCAGGGGCCTGTGGAGCAGCTCACCACTGCGCGCCGGCAGACAACAGCGCCAGCAGCGTGGCGCGGCCGCCCTCTGAGCGGCTGGGAGTCAGTCATTCGACCTTTTCATGCAGGGGCACACAGGGGATGGGGGGCGGGGACGGTTATTTTAATCAAATAGTCAAGATTGGAAGCTTCACATGAATGGGGCTCCCCAACTCTCTTCCCCACCTGGACTGTCACTGACCAGTCCAGGGAGACTGGTCAAAGCCACACGGGTTCTGCCATCCACTGCCCCCAAATTCACAATGCCCACTCATGCCCCAAAAGGGAAACTGAGGCTCGGCAGAGGGAGCCTGCCTCTGGGTGTGCTGTTTAGGAGGGCAGTGGCCGCCAGGCCCTCCGCAGGCCGGGGAGGGGGAGGGATTTTCCCCAGGGTGGGAGCTTCCTGCTCCCAGAACCAGACAAAACCCTCAGCGGGCCCCTGTGGGAGATGCCAACACCCCTTCCCACCTGCCTCCACCCGGAGGAATGCGCTGGGCTGCGACACCGGTCCCCTCCCTTCCTTCCCCACACAGAGCTTTGTGAAGGGGCACCAGGAAGCCAGAGGGTTGGACCTTGGATGGTCTCCAAGCCCTGCCCCAAGTGGAGCTGCAAAGAGTGTGTGTCTGAAAATGCTGCCAGGCCTGACTGTAGGAGCCCCCCCCTCCAGAGCATGCTGGGATCCCTGCCCACCTGCTTGGGGTGCACACCCAGGACCTTCATGCGAGAGATGCCCCCTGCCCCCACCAAGGTTGTGGGGGGCCCACATCTGGGGTATGGATGCAACCCACATAAATGTGAAACCTCCAGCAGTCCGCACCTCCCCCCGGCATAAACACGTGCCCCCACCCGACATCACACACAAAAGGGCTCTGACACCAGGAAAGGGCGGCCCCGCTGGTCCTGGAGAACACCTGGATACGGGGCGGCTTGATGGCCCACGGCTGCCATGCTCAAGACAACAGCATCTCCAACTCTGAAAACAACTCGATGTGGCAGGTATTATCGCTCCCATCTTAGAGGTAAAGAAACTGAGGCTTCAGGATGATTGATGGACCCTCCCAGAGGGTCTATGAGCTGATGGACCTAGGCAATCAGAGCGGGCTTGTGTGGAAATAAGACAGAAATGGAAGAGCAGACCGCAACATGGCCTGCGTGGCTCTGGATGCACATGTGCCTTTGACACTCAACCCTAGGGCCTCCCTGGTGGAGCAAGGGGTTAAGACGCAGCCTATGAAGCTGTCTGCAGCCTCTGCAGCACGAGTTCAATCCCCGGCCAGGGAGCTACCCACATGGCGCAGCAGACCTCTCCTGTCTCCCCGCTGCTCCCCTCAGCAGTGGATTTCAGTCAGTCTGCCTGTTCTGTTCCCCACTGTCTCTGGTGAATCCTCTCACCTCCCACACCTCTGGCCTGTACCCCAGCTCTTCTATGCATAAATAAATACACCTTTAAAAAAAATAAATAAAACTCAACCCTGGACCGAGTCAAACGTGTGCAGGTAGAAGTGCCTGGCGTGGTGCTGCCTGGGAGGGTTGGGCTCACCCCTTCGTCCACATGGTGAGACAGGGGAGGAGAGGAGAGGGCGCGAGAAAATGACTTGCTTTTTGAGAACTTTTCTGTATTTCTCGGTTTTCCATTGCGAGGACGGACTGCTTTTGCGAGTCTACATTCTACTGAAATTATGTGGCATAAACTAAACTTCCATTGGACCAGCCCCAAGAGCGCTGAGGGTCTCCTGAAGGAAGCCACGGGTCACCTTGCACTCCAGGGCCAGGTCAGGAGAAGGGGGCTCTGCTCAACCCCCCATGCCCCGCGTGAGTCTCTGGGAGAACTGCTTCACCGCCCCTTCCTCAATCTCCCCTTCTGTAAAATGGGGCTGATGGCACCCCCAAGGCAAAGTCTGCGTATGAATTTGCCATTTGTGGGGAACACCGCGCCAGGCACACTGCGTGATGGAACAGCTCAGACTGGAGCTCTTTGCTCACACTCACTAATATTCACACTGCCCGTGCTCCTGATGATAGTGAGAAACTGGGAGCATTTGACACAAATCTCAAATCCCATGTTCACAAGTCCCATGTTCACAAGTCCAGTGCTTAGTCTGTCTTCATGTGCAAGGCGATCGTTACTACAATTTTTTTTAAAGATTTATTTATTGATGCATACAAGAGCTGGGGTACAGGCCAGAGATGCAGGGGGGAGAGGATTCACCAGAGACAGAGTGGGGAGCAGAACAGGCTGACCAACCGAAACACACTGCCGAGGGGAGCAGCAGGGGAGACAGGAGAGGTCTGCTGGGCCATGAGGGCTGCTCCGTGGCTGGCCTCAAATCAAAATTGTGCTGCAGAGGCTGCGGATTGCTTCATAGTGCTTAACCCCTTGCGCCACCAGGGAGGCCCCCCTGCTACAATTTTTAAACCCAAAACTTCCCGAGGCGTTTACCTGCTTTTCCTTTGGGCCTTTTCCTTTGGGCCCTTGGGAAGCTTTGCTCTGGGTCCCGGTGCAGTCAGCGGGTGTCCCCGAGGGCCCATGATGCTCTCCAGGCAGACGGGGCCTGGGGGTGCGGCAGCTCTGGCCCTGCGTACACCTAGGCTGCCAACATCTGACTTCACCACAGTCCAGCCCCACACTCCAGGCCGCACCCCAGGCCTTCAAGGAGGGCACATGGGGGCGGTGGGCGGAGGGAACGGAGGCAGCTATGACTTTCGCGTGGGAACCAGATGTGCCAGAAGCCACAGTTGGCCTCCTGATGAAGGGCAACGGGATGGAGACACCCCCAGTCCCTTGGCTGTCCCACCCCCCGGCCCCCTCTGCCCCCCTGTGCAGCCCAGAGGGCCTTGCATAGGGACCAGCCCACACCCTTCCGGGGGAGGTGGCAGTGTCACCCAGCAGCCACACAGCTCCTCCATCCTCCTGCTGCCAGCAGCGCCAGCCGGAAGCCCCTGGGCACGGAGCCCTTTAGGAAACAAATGGACCAATGTGCCGAGCACCGTTGGGGAGCGGGTCCAGGAGGAACGCTCTCAGGGTTGGGGTGACCAGTCAGCCTCTCCTGCTTGGACTCACGTCCTGGGGCCCAGTCCCTGCGCGAGCTGGTCCAAGTGGCTTCCCCAAGCCAGGGAGAAGCGGGCACCTAAGCAGCACATGTGTGGGCATGAAAAGAGGAAGTGCACTCACTGAAAAAGAGGAACTTCGGGGCTCCTCCCTAGACCCCAGCCAACCTTTGGGGCTGCCATCTCGGCAGACCCCTGGTGCGGGGGTATGAGCGCCAGGACGAGCGCCTGGCCGGCTCGACGCTTCCTGGGTGGCGCACAGGCACCCGCTGTTCTCAGCTCCTCTCTTACTCTGCTGTTCAGGCATCGCCTTTTCACAAACCAAAGCATGTGGCCACCCTGCGTCCAGGAAGCCTGCAGACCCCTCCTTGCTTTGCGTCTGTCGCAGAGAATTACGGCGTGCACTTTTCCAGATACACTGTCATCCCCGCACATGATAGATCACAGGATAACTTTTTTTTAAAGATTTACTTATTTATTTATACAAGAACTGGGGTACAGTTCAGAAGCACGGGAGAGTGAGAGAATTCACCAGAGCCAGAGCGGGGAGCAGAACAGGCAGACTGATGAAATACACTGCTGAGGGGAGTAGCGGGTGAGGCAGGAGAGGTCTGCACGCCATGTGGGACCCTCCCCAGTGGCCGGGGATTGAACCGGCGCTGCAGAGGCTGCGGACAGCTTCGCAGCCCAGCGCTCAACCGCTGTGCCACTGGGGAGGCCCAGATTACAGGATAATTTAAATAGAACTTTTATATGCACTGACCGGGAAGCCAAAAACTCTGTGACTCACTGCTGCAACATTTGCTCTACTGCAGTTTGGAACCAAACCCCACCGAACCCCACTCTGCAATGTGCCCGTGTACGCTGGAATGGGGGTGTCAGCTGGGTCTGCATCATGACAGCTTCTGGCACACAGCTCTGGGAGACAGCACGGGCATCTTAGACAAGGAGAGGGGCTTCCCTGGGCGAGGAGGCTGCTAAAATGGGCTGCCAGGTGCAGGAATGCAGTCGGGGGCATGGTGGGCACCTACCCTGCCGAGAACTGCCCAGGACTCCAGAGACAGTGCAACCTTGAGGCCCCAGAAACTCAGGGTCCCCTGTTGACTGGTTAGCATCAGGGTGCTTCTCCACCAGCCACACTGCCCAGGCCCAGAGCAGCGGCCCCAGCTGGCCGTTGCCCCTCTGGGCTGGTGCCAGTGTGCAGTGGGTCACTGGGGGAGCCAGCTGGCAGCTCACCAGTGACAGGCAGCCAGCCAGGAGACAGGCTGCACAGCCACGGGGACGCCTGGAGGGCGGCCTCCAGACCAGCAGGTAGTCTGTGCTGCTGCCCAGTGCCACACTGGCCCCGTAGGCTTTCTTCTGCGGACAGTGGTCCTGGGCATCCATCCAGGGGCGGCCGGTGACTGCAATGGGGTGGAGGCTCGGGGCGGTCAGCCTGGAGGCGGGTGCCAACGCCTTCTACACATACACCGTGATGTGGACGGGTCTGTCTGTGCTCCAGGCCTGTTCTTCTTCCCACAAAATGAGGGCTGGAGTGGGTCAGCAGTACCTCCAGCAGTCCCTGGACCGCGGGTGCAGACTACCTCTGGGAACTCATCAGAAATGCAGATTCTCAGATCCCATCAGATGCCCTCTGAGTCATCAGCTGGGGGTAGACGTAGGGGGTGTGTCCTAACGTGCCCTCCAGAAAGTCCTGATGCTGCCCGAGTGGACCCAGTAGTAGGTCCTTCCCAGCTTTATTCTGAATCCCTGGGCAGCGATGGTGTGCGCCCAGGATGGTCACCCACAAGGAAATCCAGTGTCACCTCCACTCTCGGAGGGCCGCCTCCCACCGTGCCTGTCACCAGCTCCCAGTTTGCATGACCCCCCAGGGGAAGCCACCGGCTCCCGGGACCTCCCCGGGGAGCCACCCTCCCTCCAGCCCACGGTCACTGTAGCTGGCGCCCCTCCTCCTCCGCACCTCGAGCCTCCAGTTCAGCCCCAGCGTGGGCCACGTTGCTGTGTCCGGGCTCAGCCTCTCCTGCCCAAGGGTGGGGCCCAAAAGGCAGGGTCGGTCTCGCCCAGCTGTGGCCCCCAGAACGGGCCCTGAGCTGGCTCTCCTTCCCACACCCCAGGCAGCCCCGCCCAGCCCCGGCTCTGGGAGGAGCCTCCAGGGGCCGCTGTGCCCGCTCCCACCCTCGGACTGGCCTTTGGCAAGCGCTGCCTGGGGCCACCCCCTGCCCCTCTGCGGAGCCCGGCGGCTGACCAAGTCTCCGCTCGTAAAGTTGCAGACAAAGTGCGCGTGCAGAGGGCGAGCGGCAGCTGGAGACACACCAGCAGCAGCAAGGAGGGCGCTGGGGGCGGGCGGGAGGTGGGAGGGCAGCATCCGCCATGACAGCAGGACAAAGCCACTCACCCTCCAGGGAGGGGCAGAACCCACGGCCCCTCTGTCCTGGGGGGGCACTACCCCTACCCCGCCCAGGTCCGCTCACAGGAACTCACCTGTGTTCTTAATGCCTGTTTTCCAAGCGGGAGAAGGAAGTACTGGGGGTGCATGCGAGGGTGGTCCTGCCTCCCTCTGCTCCTCTGTGTCTTCACCTGTAAGATGGGGCTGAAGTCAGAGGTTTCTAAGGGATGAGGCGCCAGCTCCCTGCACAGTTGTCAGGGTTTTAATAAACCTGTGTCTGCTGAAACGCGCCTCCTTTAATCCCAATGCGTTCCACAAGTATCACTAGCATCTCTCTCCTGAGCAAGGGGTTCTGTGTGGACTCGCCAGGCAATTTCCTCCCCCCAAAATAACAATGACTTGCGGGCCTCCCTGGTGGTGCAGGGGTTAAGCCTTCTTGCTATCAAACTATCACCAGCCTCTGCAGCACAAGTTTGATCCCGGGCCAGGGAGCTACCCACATGGCGCGGCAGACCTCTCCTGTCTCGCCCGCTGCTCCCCTCCGCAGTGTATTTCAGTCAGTCTGCCTGTTCTGCTCCCCACTCTGTCTCTGATGAATCCTCTCACCCCCCACACCTCTGGCCTATACCTTGTATAAATAAAAATAAATCTTAAAAAAAAAAAACCGACTTGGTTTGAGACCTGTGCCTCAACTCTCTGGCACACCTTGTGCTCCTCCAGCCATGGCCAGCACCCCAGGGAAGGGGCCAGGAGCCCTGGAGCGTTAGGAGTGAGGATGCCCACTGCCCACTGCTAAAGGAGATAAGTGCAGGAAGGGGAAAGGTCAAAGGTGACTCAGATTTCTGGGTGCAGGGCCAGGGTAGCTGGTGGTACCTTCCCTGGGGCAAGCAATCCAGATTTGGGTAGAATATGGGTTCAGATTCCGGAACACCCAATGCGCAGTATCTTCAGGATGTCCGGGTGGTGGGGGGCGAGAGTGCTGGAGCCCCTCCACTCCCTGGGCCCGTGAGTCCTCCAGGAGCGGGTGCCGGGGTTCACCTAGACCCAGACAAGCACCCTACCCTGGCAGCGCTCCTGGTGAGGAGCCCTCCAGCAAGCAGCTAAAGAAACAGAGAAGCGGCAGGCCACGAAGGTGCGTGCAGGAGGCCCTTGCGAAGATGAGGTGAGAGAAACTGGCCCTGACCGCCCGGCCCACCCCCGGCCCGTGAAGACCACGTGGCCAGCGCGGTCAGTTGCTCTCTGACCGCACCCTGGGCTGCCCGGCTGGCACAGACCCGCGCTGCCGGCTCCGGGGCAGCCCCAGCAAGGGTCCTTCACGCACGGCCACTGCCCAGGGCCAGTCGGGTCTGCAGGTCTGGACTGTCCCTTGTGCCATCGCAGAGCTCAGAGAGGGCCGCGTGGACGGGGGAGGAGCTGTCCCACGCGGGCTGCGGGGACACAGGTAAACGCGGCCGGTCCCCGCTGAAGACCTTGCAGCTGCGGAAGGTGCGAGCCACCCCAGAGCCACGGGCGGCGGCGCGCGAGGAGGGGAGCGCAGTGGCACAGCCGGGGCCAATAGCACCCCGGAGGGCTTCCTGGAGGAGGTGACCCCGCTGCTGGCTCGGGGAGCCCTGGCCGGCTCCACCACGCCCCTTGCAGGTCATGATCGTCTCCCGCCTCCCTCATGGGGAGAGTGGAAGGGGCGCCCCAGCGGGGCGTGGGGAGCAGCCGCAGGCGACGCAGGCCCGGCAGCCAGGCCCGCAGTGCACGGGATGCAGGACGGTCGCCTGGAGGCGGGACACGCACCTAACAGCCAGCGGCGGCCTGAAGAGGATTAAGACAGGCCCGCAAAGCGCCGGCTGAGGTCTCCGCGCGCGCCACCCAGCGCGCCGCCCCCCTCGGCCGGCCGCGCGGGCGGGGGCGGGACGGCCCCTTTAAGCGCGGCGCCCCGCCCAGGGACTTCCCGGCGGCCGCGGCCCCCGCCCGCCCGCCGCCCGCCGCCCCGCCGCGACCTTTCCCCCACTTTCCAGGGTCTCAGGCCCCGCCCCCTCGCCGGCCACAACACGTGCCGCCTCCCGCCCTGCGGATCACGCCGCGGCCAGGCTCCGATCACGCGGGCCCCCGCGGCGCCCATTGGCCGGCCGCGCACGAGCGCGGCACGGATTGGCCGGCGGGGCCCAGCCCCGCCCCGCGGGGCGCGGCGTATTTTGGTCCGTCGCGCCCCGCCCCGCGGCCGCTCCCTCCGCGCCGCCCCGCCCCTCCGCTCCGCGAGGCCGCGCCGGGCAGAGCCGCGCGGGCGGGCGGAGGCGCGCGCCGGCCGCTGAAGCTCCGGGTCGCCGCCGCCCGCCTCGCACGTGCCGCCGCGGCCGTGCCCGCGCCCCGTCCTGCGGCCGCTTTGTTGCCCCGGCCGCCGGCACCATGCACGCGCCGGGCTCGGCGGGCCCGGGCGACGCGCGCGCGGTGAGTAGCCCCGTCCGTGAGCGCGGGGCGGCCGCCGGCGGGGCGGGCCGGGGACGGGCCGGGGCCGGCGGGGGCGGGCGGGGGGCGGCGGGGGCGGGCGGGGGCGCGCCGCGGCCGCCGCGCTGGGGGCCCGGGCGGGGGCCGGGGCGGGGCGGGGCGGCGGCGCGGGGCGGGCAGGGGGCGTGTGCCTCGCTGCGCGCGCGCGCGGCTTTGTCCCGCGCTCCTGGCGCCCCGCCCCCGCGCGCCCGGCGCCCCGCCCGCGCGCCCGGCGCCCCGCCCCGCCCCGCCCCGCCCCGCCGCCCCGCCCCGCCCGCCGGCCGCGGCTATTTCCAGCCATGACGTCACTGGGCTCGGCCGAGGCGCGGGGCGGGGCGGGGCGGGGGCGCGGCAAAGCTGGCGGGAAGGCCGCTCTCCGGGGCGGGGCGAGGACGGGCGGGATAAAGGCTGGCAAGGGGCGGCACCGGGGGCGGGGCAAGGCCAGGGGGCGGGGCAAAGGCTGACGCGGGAATAGGCGAGGGGCGGGGCAAGAGCTGCGCGGGGCGAGGTGAGGGGCGGGGCAAGGTGGGGGCGGGGCAAGGGCTGCGCGGGCAGGGTGAAGACTCGCGCGGGGCGGGGCTGGGGGCGGGGCGAGGGCCGCGGGGCGGGGCGAGGCTGGCGGGAAGGCGCACGTGCTGGGGCGGGGCCTCTGCGGCCCTGGCGGCGCGGCGGGTCCGGGCCAGACCTGGGACCGGCCGTCGAGGCGCCGAGAGGGGCCCGGGAGCCCGGAGGCGCGGCCGAGCCTGGCGTTCCGGTCCCGGCTCCGGCTCGCTGGTTGGCCGCGCGCCCCGTTCCGTTCCCTCGCGGGGCGCACAGAAGCCGGGCCCGGGCGTCGGTGAGTTGGGGCCCTGGGGGGGACCCGGCGGGACCGAGGGGTTGGTGGGCGCGACTCCTTTGGGGAGCGGTGGGCGTTCCCGCCTCCTCCCGCTTCGGGCTGGGTGCCGGTGGGGGTGGAGCGCCCGTGGGCCCCGGCGGGCGCGGTCAGTCGCCAGGGGAAAGGTGGTTTGATCTTTGGAAGAATCGGGGTGTCCCGGGCCGCTGCTTGCGGCTCTAGACCTCGGCCCCGCAGCCGCCGCGCGCGCCCGCTCACGAGCCGTGCGGTGTGGCCGCAGGTGGACATCATGGACATATGCGAGTCCATCCTGGAGCGGCAGCGGCACGACAGCGAGCGGTCGGCGTGCAGCGTCCTGGAGCAGACCGACATGGAGGCGGTGGAGGCGCTGGTGTGCATGAGCTCCTGGGGCCAGCGCTCGCAGAAGGGGGAGCTGCTGCGGGTCAGGCCCCTCACCCCGGTCTCTGACGCCGGCGATGGCGCCGTGTACGTGGAGGCGGTGGCCACGGAGCTCCCGAGGGACTTCCACTCTCTAGCGACGCTGGTGAGGGGTCGGGGGTCTGCAGGCCAGTCTGGGGGTGGGGCGGCTGGGCGGGTTCCACGCCTCCCCTCTTGAGGTCCCTGGGGCTCCTCGCTTTCTCTAAAGCAGCCAAGCCCCGCCTACAGCCTTGGGAACATGGGGTGACACCTGCGGGCAGACTTGAGCAAGTCAGTGTCCTTGCCCCTGGGAACCAGGGGGTGTGGGGTGAGGGCCAGGGACCCTGTGCGGGATGGGGATGGGGTAGAGGAGCCACCCCACTCACCCAGCCCCTCAGTGAGTAGCATCGCGTGGCCCAGGTGCACTAGGGAGCTGGGCAGGGTGACCTGGGGGAAGCAGGGGTTGGGGGGGGCAGGTAGTGTCCTGGCTGCTGAGCCGTCCCGTGCTATTGGCTGCTGGCTTCTCCACACGGGGCTTGGGAGTTAATGGAACTGCAGGGCGCAGTGCAGAGGTCTCTGCACCCCTAGTTTCTAATGAGAGCATGGCCTTGGGGGACGGTCCTGTCAGGGCTCACCTTGCACCCAGAAGGTTACCCCTGAGAAGCGGAGGTTTTCTTGGAGAATGTGAAACACCCACAAAAAGCTCTTACTTTGAGTCTGCGTTTGGCGTCTTGCTGCGTGGTCCGGGAGCTGCGCCCTGGAGTGGCTTGAGCGCTGCTGCCGGCCTTGGTCTGGGCGTGAGCGGGTTTGAGGGAGTCAGAAGTGTGGAGAAGCCAGAAAGGAAAGGTCAGGGCATAGCCTTGAGGCCTTGATGTCTGCTGGGTGTGTGACATGGCGCAGGCTAGGCTTTTCCAGATGCCGTTTAAAGGCAGTGGGAGTAACAGATCAAAGTAAATTTATTTAAAGCTTGACCAACACAGTCTTTCACACGGTGGTTTTTTGTTTTTGTTTTTGTTTTAAGTGCATGACTCCTCCTCAGAGCCCGGATCTCGCGGAGCCATCGCCAGGGGTGCTTGTCTCTTCCCAAATGACTGAGTCCAAAGCACCTGGGGGCTCGGCCAACACCCCCACCTCTGCCGGGACTTCCCGAGTGCTGGGCAGGGGGGCAGAAAGGGGCCTGCCCGGTGTGAAGCCCGAGCTGCTGGCGTCAGCGCCCGGTCCCTCCTGCAGGGCCGTGGTGACAAGTGTCATCCGCCACACCGCAGGGAGTCCCGCTCCGCCCCACACCCCCACTTCTCTGGCTCAGGAGGACCAGCTGTCAGGCTCCAGAGAGGGAGGAGCACGGCTCCTGGGGCCGGCTGAGGCTTCGCATGCCACACGCGCCGACAGCATGCTCGCTGCCAACGTGGTGTCCCGCCGGCCTTACTCGCACCAGCCTGGCAGCCGGACCCCTGCCGACAAAGGCCAACAGCCAGGGTGGCCCCCTGCGGCACAGACCTGCTTACCAAAGAATCATGACAATGACTTGGCGAGAAAAACCACTCCTCTAGTTTCTGTCCCTGTCCCTAGTCCCCCCGTCCTTTGCCAAATGATCCCCGTGACTGGGCGAAGTGGCATGTTACCAACTTTCCTGAGACCCCCACCCCCGGTGTCTGCAGGGACTGTTAAACCCATCCTCCCCCAGGCTGCGCCAGGGCCCCAGCCTCTGTTCGTGGGACCCTCCGTGCCTCAGGGAACCGTGATGCTGCTGCTGCCCCAGGGCGCCCTCCCCCCGCCCGCCGCCTGCCCACCCAGCATGCTGACTGCTGGAAGCCCCAAGTTACTGCCCCTCGCCCCTGCACCTGTCTTCATCGCCTCGGGTCAACACTATGCCCCTCAGGTAGACTTTTCGCGAAGGAGGAACTATGTCTGCAACTTTCCAGGCTGCCGGAAAACGTACTTCAAAAGCTCCCACCTTAAGGCCCATCTCCGCACCCACACCGGTGAGCCCCAAGCAGCTGGACCTGGGCAACATCAGATCCCGGGCCGGGTGGAAGCTCTTGGCACCTGTGGGTGGGGAGGGAAGCACAAGGACACCGGAGAAGGTGGAGATGTGGCCATTTTTCTTTGGATCTGAAAAACCTTCATAATCATGGAGGGCCTGGGGTTATTCTAGAACATGTGGGGAGCAGGCGCCCCGCAGCTGCAGGAGGACCTGGACTGGTGCCTGCCGGTCTGTGAAACTGTGACAGCGACATGTAAAGCTGGTAACAGCAGGTGGCTGTTAGGATTGGGACCCATTTTGTAGCTGAAGGCCAGTGTGGTCAGAAGTGAGGGGGAATCAGTGGGTCTGAGGGGGCCTTCCAGGGCCTGGGAGAGAGTTTGTAGACTGCAGCTTCGTGAACTGCAGGAACGAATATTTTTCCTGCAAGAATCTTCCTACCTGAGCTGTAACAGTAGGTGGTTTTTACTTAAAAATCCTTTTGAAAATAGTACTTGGGCATCCACGGGCGGGGACATACCCCGTTAGGTGTGGTAGGAAGAAAGGCATCTTGGAGGAATTCTTGACTTGGAGGAATTCTTGACTTCCGGGCACCCGGGCGCCAGAGTAACGGGATATTATTACTTAGATTTCAATGAGTAAAATTTTTGAAGGACATGAATTAACTTGTCAGATGAGGAGCTGAGCATTTGTATTTTCTTTAAAATGTGGTTTCTCGTCTTCTAGGAGAGAAGCCTTTCAGCTGCAGCTGGGATGGCTGTGATAAAAAATTTGCTCGTTCGGATGAACTCTCGCGCCACCGCAGAACCCACACGGGCGAGAAGAAGTTCGTGTGCCCGGTGTGTGACCGGCGCTTCATGCGCAGCGACCACCTGACCAAGCACGCCCGGCGCCACATGACGACCAAGAAGATCCCTGGCTGGCAGGCCGAGGTGGGCAAACTGAACAGAATCGCGTCAGCAGAGAAGCCTGGAGGTGCCCTGGCCAGCACGCCCGCCGCCTCCTGAAAGGTCTGCCGAGGAGCTGCTTGGGAATTTTTTAAAGCCTGCGGGAGTAGAATGGATGGTGCCCTCTCCACAATCAAGGACGATGTCTTGGGGGCTGGGGAAGGGAGAGCTGGTTCTGATGAGAGTGTGTTACTTTTCTTTTTCGGTTAGGACCCTGCCCTGTGTCTTCTGTAGCTTCAGGAGTTTGAAGGTAACGGAAGGAAATTTGATCCTCTAAATCACCAGCATTGAGGCAGACATTGCGGCAATAAAGTTTACAAAATCTGGGTTTTTACAACCTTTCTATTCATGTTTTGTAGAAATGAGACAGGGTACTGATTTTTATACTGTTTTTTATAAAAATACATTGTTGGTGCTTGCATCACCAATTTCTAGATAGATTTTACAATCTTCTTTTCACGGTCTGATAATGTTTTTATAGTAATCTTGCTTTTAGTCAGCTTGATGTGTCATTCAGTCAAAAAAGTAAAGTCACAAGTTTGTGAGATGAGGGTTTTTTTAGAATCAGAACTGGCTGAGTAGGGGTCTCTTAAAGAAACGGGGGTGGCGGCTTCTTAACATTTTCAAGAGGAATTCCCGGCAGCTGTCCTCCTGCACTGTCGCCTGCGGCGTGCCAGGTGCAGTTAAGTAGAGCAGAGCGCGGTGTGATCGTGAGGGCTGTGCCCAGAGGGGAACCTGGAATGTTCACAGGTACCTGGGAGCAGGGACTTGGGTGGAACTCGAGTGCCTGTGTCTTTGGGGGCCATTTTTCTGCTGAGAGCAAACGTCACGGTTTTCTGGTTGTACCTCAAAAAAGAGTGTGAGCACTTAGTCCGGCTCGGCCATCTGCCAACTGCTTTGCTACGGCCTTATCTGTAGTATTTTGTGGATCAGGTGACTTCTGGAGAATAAGATCTTGCTGACTGGAGGCCTCTCCCCGGCGTCCTGCATGTCTGTCCAGCACGCCCCCTCACACTCAGTTCTCCGTGTGGCTGTGGGCCTCCACTGCCCTTGGGTTCGCTTCACCAGAAGGAAGCAGCAAAGGAAAATGACCTAGAATGGGGTGTGGTGCTGTCTACATAGGGAGGAGACCCTGGACCCCCTCGGGAGCCACCCGGTGCCCATCCTGCCTGGTTGGAGGCCAGGCAGGTCCTGGGCAGGGGCTGGGCGTCCAGGCGGCAACGTGGTGGAGACGGTGCGGGCCTGGAGGACTTAGATTCTGGCTTTGCCTCTTCATGGTTGGCATTTACCTTTATTAAAATGGTGGTAAGGGGAGAGTGAGTGAGTACAGGTAGGCCTTTGTTCAGGTCTTTTAGTCTGATGCACCCTCACCTGGTCACACGCTGTGTGTGACCTGGTGCTCATGCCCGTGCTCTAATGTGTCAGCTGGTTGGCATAGTTGTCTCTGCGTGCTGGTGGCTGGTAGGAGGCTTCCCCGTCTTAGCGTAACGCGGATGCAAGGAGCCCCGGTTCAGTGTGTGTATATAGCTCCTTTCCCCGCACCCCGCCTTTCCTCTCTGCGAAGATCAGCTGAGCAGTCTAACCATGTGTGTGCTAGAAAAAAATGGCAACAGATTGGGATTTTTTTTTGATTATGCAGAATAGTGGGAGTCGTCCTCGTGTCCCCTTGGCGGGCACAGGCCTTCGAGTGTCCGTTACTTCTCCAGAGAGCGCTCCCTTGTCCGAGCAGCGCTGCTTCTGAAGACCGAGGTGTGTTCCACATGACTCACATTCACATTTCGTCGCCTGATTAGAATTAGAAATGCCTTCTGTCATCAGCTCTTTTTTGCCTTCTGTTTGTCGATTGAAAGATTGTAAGCTGGGGAACAGTTTCTGTCCAAAAAATACTCTTCTAAGAACCAGAGCCCTCGGGGCTTGTTTCCATATGGGGTCCCTGCCGCCGCCGCGGGGTGTCAGGCAGAGCGCAGCAGGCCCCCCAGTGCACTTTATCGCCTAAGCAGTTTTGCTTGATCTTTTGACTTTGAGCCTTTGAAGTAGTTTTCAGTAATAAAATTTTAAATGTTTCAGAATTATGTTTTATGTCATAGACTTTGACTTATTTAAATGAATATGTGTGTGTAACATTTTTTGTTGAATCATATAAAACTTTCGATTCGCAAACCAGACCTGTGTCTTGCGTCATTTAACTACACCGCAGTATGCCAGGGACTTGTGGGGAAGAATCTACACAATTCTTTGCATATTGGCCCAACTTAACTGTCTTCCTGGTTCAGGGGAATTTTATTTCCTCAGAGCACCTTTGGAGGCCTCAACAGCTGAGGCGTGCTGAGGCTGCCTCTCTGGCTCACTCTGGCCGGGGGCCTGCTTCTGGCAGAACAGGACCGTCGGTGCTGGGTAAGCCCGAGCCTCAGCCTCCTCTTGTGCCAGGAGATAAAACTGGAGGAGGCCACCGCCTCCAGCCCAGCCCAGAAGCCAGTCTTCATCTCTGTTCTTGGGGTACATTCTCTCTCGAATCCACTCTGTCTGGGGCTTTATCCCACATCCCAGCCAGGGTGCACCCTCGGGAGCCAGAGACTTTGATAGGGTCAGTCCTTAGTCGTCACGTTTGCTGCCGGCAGTGTAGGACAGAGCCAGTTACTCCCCCAAACGCCTCAACCTCCTGCTCTCCTGCCTCACTGTCCCTTTTGGCGCCTTGATGCCTCAGTGCTGGGAACCCCGGGTGGCGATGACACTGCAGTTCACGGCCCTCAGCCCTGGTGATCTTCTCCAGCCTGTGACTTAGATAAAAACATCTCTACCCTAAAGACCCTGCACATGTGTCTCCTTCATACCTCTCGCCTGAACTGCTGATTCTAGAACCCAGCTGTCTTGACATCAGTCCAGCCAGCATGTCTGAGAACTGGAGCACCCCCCTTTCCAGGCTTCTCACAGTTGAGCCCATTGGTCGGCTGGGTGCAGGACTATGTGGCTCCAGGCGCCTTTCTCCACACGCATCGTCTGGGATGTGATGGGACACCCCACCTGGGTTGTGATGGGACAGAGAGGTCCTGTGACCTGTGGCACGCTGGTCCTAGTTGCCATGGCAAGAGGTGCGGGAGGGCTGGGGGGGTGGGGCGGGGAGACAGCACAATCCTCATGGACCCTGTGGTCAGGTAAACCTCTGTCTACCTACTCGCTCCCTCCTGACTTGTGAGGACGGTGAGGCTTGCCTGTGGCTCATCGTGTCCCTGAGGTCCAGCCCCTGTGAGCTCACCTGGCGACCCTTGGGTGTTTGCTAAATGGAAACTGTTGCTCTGGCCCCCTGCACGGGGGACTGGAGATTCACTGGGAGACTAGAGACAGGAGAGAGGAAGACGGGAAGAAATGGGTGGGCTTCTGGAAAAGCAGGCTGAGAGGTCTTGGCTGGAGAGGTGCGCACAAGGTGAGGAGGGTGGCCCGACTCCCAGTGTCCAGTCGGCAGCGAGCGTCTGAGGAGCAGGCAGAGAGCCCTGCAGCACAGCAGAGGGCCTCCCCGTCCTCTGGCCACTGTGGCGGGAATGCTGATGTGGCCTGAGACAGGCCTGGTCCACACCCCACCCGTCGAGCCACAGGAGGTCTTCCACCTTCCTGAGCCTTAGTGTCCCTGGTTATAAAATGAGGACTGTAGAGACCCCAGACATCCGCTGCCTGGTCTTCTAGCTCTCCTGTCCTTCCACCAAAAGGAACCAGGTTCCCTGAAAGAAAGCTGTCTTGGGGCACAGATATACCTGGAATGGGGTGAGCAAGTCTTGTGTCGTCAGAGCCCTCTGAGAGGGCCGGGTCTGTGCTGAGGCAGCGGACATCGCTCCAGGCGCCTCCCACTGCCACGTGGTGAGCCCAGACATTAGAACCAGTGACACGGCTTCACTTCTGCCAAGGTGGAGCAATGCGGGCCACGTGGAGCCTCTCACCTGGAGCGCAGGGATGTCGGGTCGGGGCGAGAACAGCAGGAGCCCCCAAGGGGCTGGCCTGAAGTCACGCGAGATGGTGCTCCCCTGAGGGTCAGGGAATGAGGGGGCAAGCCCTGCCATCACCCAGGGCTAGTCTTTGAGGAAGCTTCCAGAGGAGTGCCTGAGTTGGGGGCAAGGTGCTGAGAGTCCTGGAACACCAAGGTGGCGAGGGTCACAGGACAGAATGCTGAGGAGGAAAATGGCAGCATCCCGCCGGGTGCAGCGGGAGAGATGGCGGGTGTGTGTATGAATTAAAGAGTGGATACCAGATCCCCAGGGGGAGGGGTGTTTAGTGAGGAACACCCCTTTCTATCAAAATACCAAGGATGCCATATCCCCCCTCCCTGCCCTCAGGCCCCCAAACACCCTGGGCTCAGCTGTGAGCACCCACAGGCCAGAGGCCCCAACTCCACCCAGGTGAGACCTGCGGTGCGGCCTCTGGCCTCTATTTTGGCAGCCTGTCCCTTCTCGGGGTGAATCCAGGTTTATGTGGGTGCTCTTCCCTGGAAACGGCACACCCCACAAGTGGGCAGAGACCAGGTCCCTGCCCTCACACAGGCTGGGCTGCAGACAGCAGCACTTAGGTGTGACCTGTGACCTGGAAACGCCAGGGGCCGCCTACTAGCTGCCCCCCCAGCACAGCCTCGGACACAGCCCAGGGCCCAGGAATCTGGAGGATGCTCCAGAGGAGGGGCGGGAGCTGGCGATGGCAGGACTCCTGGGCAAGAGGGGAGAGGCGCCGGGGGCCGCGGGGCAGGAGGGCTGTGCCCGGCTCCGCCCCTCACCCAGAGTTTTCCTAGCACTAGGGACAGGGTTTTCTAACTTCCTGACTGTAGCACCCCAGAGGAAGGCCCCGCACAGAGCCCACGAGACGCATCTAATGTATGTGGACCTCCAGGCCCCGACACCTGTCGCGGTCACTGTAACGCAGAGGCCTTTTCCTTCCTGCCTCAGTTCCTCCCTGCGGGTGAGTAGATTCTCAGCCGCAGCCCACTTGGGGGAGCTGGGGAGCAGGTCCCACGGGGCAGAGTGGGTGCTCAGCCTGCCTCCATCTCACCGGGGGAGGGGCCGCCCCAGGGCTGGAACCACGGGCAAAAAAAAGGGGGAAGAAGAAGCAGGAGAGGAAGCAGGAACAGGCCTGGAAACACGGCCTTGACGCCTTTTCTTTAAACTTGATTTACACCAACCCAACTATGCAAGGGATAATTTTTTCCTTTTAACACTTTCATCTCATGGAGGGTTTTATTAAGGACTTCTCTTGGAAACCAGCCAAGCGTGTTCCATTCTAATAATGGCGCGCAACTGCAAAACACTGCATCGTTAACTCAAAGTCAGCTCCCGGGGGGAAGAAACCAGCCTCCCTCAGGAGAAGCACGCGGGCTGTCAGTAGCGAAGGCGATACTCTCAGAAGCAATGGTTTGGGCTTGGATGGGAAACGGCTCTGCCTGGGGAGGTTCTGAGCCAGCCCCCCGGGGTCTGTGAAAGGCTCCCTTGTCCATCCTCTGACTTCCCAGTAAAAGTCCCCCGGCTGCGGCTGCTCAAAGGCACTGTGGTCGAGCAACAAAGTTTAGGGACGCGCCAGCTTGCCCATGACGGCAGCAGGCCTGTGGGCCTAGGGTGCCAAGCGGCCATCGTGGGTCTCCAAGGTGTCGTGTTCTGTAGCAGGTGGGCGGACCGCTCTCCTGGCGACAGGGCGGGGCCAGGGGGGGTGGAGGCCGCTGTGATGGGGAGGACGTGAGACCAGCTGAGACTGAATCTGGCTTTGGCAAGCACCGAGGTCGCTTTCACGTGCCCCTTCGAGGGTGACCACGGCCAGCTGAGCCGGAGGGCCCGCCTCCTGGCCCACTGGCCACACTGAGCTTCAACAAGCAGCCCTGCCCACAGGAGCCGCCTCCAGGCTTGCCCGCCCAGCCCAGCCGACTCACAGGGCACCCTTGTGCCGTCCTAGCGAGCGGCTTTCTCCCCCGTCGGCTGGGATAGCACTGAGGCTTCTCTGCCCCGTGGCTGCGAGAGCCGCCTCCGTCCAGGTAGAATGAGAGTAAAAAGGTCCCACTGGGTATTTGTCAGGCTCTAACGACAGACCAGGCAGCCCCTTTGCAGGCCCCTTGGGGACTTGTCCTCAGTGGGGGAGGCAGTTCTGTGTCCGGGGGGTGGGGAGTCAGGCACCAGATTGCTCAAGAAGCCTGTAATTACGTGATCCCAGAGCAGCACCTCATAGCCTCCAGGCTGGCTTTGGGGGAAAGGCGTAGAGAAGGGCAGCAAGCGCCTGCTCATGCAAGACAGCGTCCAAAGCAGGTCTCGGGTGCCCAGCCCAGTGCCCGCCCACACCCATGCAGGGGGACAGGCCTCTGTTGTGGGGTGCCATGGCTGTGAGCAGCCTCAGGCAGCTGGCAGATGAGGCAGATGCTCAGACTCAACCCTGGGCCTCACAGTGGCTGGTCCAGCAGCTACATCCTTGCCCCGGGGCTGGTTAGAAATGTAGGTTCCCAGGCCCTGCCCCAGACCTACACAGTCAGAACCTGGATCTGTATCTCAACAGAACCTTATCGCTCAGGGGTTCCTTTGCAGAACTGAAGGTCACCCCTCCAGGTCTGTGGGACACACTTTCTGCGTGTACTCTCCATGATAGAACCATCCAGAAGCACCGTGGAATGCATTATAGACCCCGAGGCAACTGGTTGGGACCATATTCAGCTGCCAAGCCTTCTGCAGTCAGGTGGCGTGCTGGCCTCCGGAAAGAACAAGCATTTCCTGCACCAAGATCCCCGAGGACAGGCCTTTCCATGAAGGAGACAGACGCACCTGGGAGATTCCCTGTGCAGGCACCTGCAGGGACCCTGCTCCCTCCTGCCTGCATCTCCAGCGAGCCCGGGGGCCACAGCCCACCATGTTCAGGGCTGTGTGCATGTGGTTTGAAAAGATGGGTTTTGAGAGATCTGGGAGTAATGGTGCTGATGGCAACTCAGCTTTGCATGGAGTGCTGGGCAGAAGGGGGGATGTGCGTGCCCAGCCCGGCAGGTGGCAGGAGGCCCACCGCTGCTGTGCCACTGGCCTCGGGGCAGTACTCCCGCTCGATGCTGGCCATCAGCTCCTCCTCAGCGTAGTCATACGAGACAGCCAGCTGCTTCTCCGGCCTCCGCTGGCTGCTATCCAGGGCTCTGCAGGCAGAGATGGGCAGGGGTGAGGGAGCTGGGTGGGAGCTCCAGCTTGTCATAGGCACCACCCAGC